AGCCCTGTGCTGACTTCACTTTCTTCTTTTTATAATCTCACCCTTATAGGTCACAAATTCAACTTTCTACTGTCCTCTGCTCTTTAACCCTTCACTGTCTTGTCCTATCCTGGAGCTGGAGAAAGTCACCCCACTGCGCTGACTGGGGGATTAACATATCCATGTGACCCAACTTCAATGGAACCCTCCCCACAATGAGGCAATCCTTTCCTTCCTCCCCAATGAATCCCTATCACAGGACCTACAGAAGCAACTGGAGAACTTCTCTCCTCCAGCCCCCATCTCTGTCACCACCCTCCCTCAATTGAGAATTCTGTCTCTTACTTTACTGAGAAAACTGAGATCCTTCACCACGATTGCCCTCTTACCTCTCTAAGCCAATGCTTTCACATGTGCCCTTGACCCCATTCCCTCTCATTTTCTCCAATATATCGCACCCTCAAACACCTGCCCATCTTCAATCTCCTTCTATCAACTGAGTCTTTCCCTTCTGCCTTCAAAGATGTCCACCCCCCGCCCCCACCCCCGTCGACCTACTGTCCCCTCAAGATAATAGGGAGTCACTGGAGTTTACTGAGCAGAGGACTGATGCAGTCAGAGCTGCACTCAAGGATGACCACTTTGGTAGCAGAAGGCAGGGCTGGACTAGAGTGGGAAGAAAGGATACAAGGATCAATTAGGAGGCAGCTGCATTCATCTAGGTGAGAGGGGAAGAGGGGCTGGATAGAAGTGGTAGCAGGGGGAAAAAAAACTTGGATGGGAGCGATCGAGGGTGTAGAAGCAGCCACACTGGGTATCTGATTGGCTAATGGGGTGAAGGCAGAAGGAGGAGTCAAGAGCAGCCCTGATGTTACAAACCTGGAGACTGAAAGAATGCAGGCGATCAAACAGAAACTCCTCGGCTCAGCCTTCAAGTCCCTGACCTGGCCCTGACCTACCTTTCTGGCCTCCCTGGACTTCCTCCTCTTGCCCCCACACTCTGCAATCCAGTCAAACAGGCCCCGCCACCTTCTCTCCTGTGCCTGGGCACTGCCTGACCTCCCTGCTCAGCCCTGCTCACCAGATCCGCCCAGCACCACCTTGGAGCCAAGGCCTTTCCTGAGCCCCTCAACAGCTCTTACCTGCCTCCCTCCCAAACTTCTCCAAATACTTATGTGTGAACGTGTTTGCTTTCCTATTGAATGTAAGTTATTCAGCTTCTGTGGCAGCAAAGAACTAGAAACAAAGGAGATAGATGGCCATCGACCGGGAAATGGCCAAACCAGACGTGGGCCATGAATGCCATGAATGCCATGAAATCTGATTGTGCTGTCAGATATAATATGGGTGATGAGTACTGAGAAACCTGGAAGAGCTACATGAACTGATGCAGAGCCAGGAACACACCGTACACAATGATGATAACAATGTAAACAGAACAAAGAGCCACAAAACGATAAAGAATACTGCAAAATTATATAGAACAAGCTGAGCCCTAAAGATGACATATGAGAAGACATCGCCCCCCCCATTCATTTGGGAGGGGGGTACATGCCCAAGGTACATTGCATTTAATGTCATTTTGATTCATTTCGCTGACTTGTTTTCTCTTCTTTTGTTGCTCTTTAAAACAAATTATTTGTTATAAAGGGAAAAAAGAAGAATTCAGGAGGCAATGTAAAAATGAATGACATCAATAAACACTGATTTTTAAAAACAAAGAGTGTTAGCTACTTGCAGACAGTGACTGTTAAATTCTTCATATCTGTATCCCCAGCACTTAGCACAGCACCTGGCACATAGTAGGTGCTTAAAAAAATGCTTACTGTTTTTTGAAGGTCATGCATTGACCAGACTTAATAATAATAATAACTAACATTTATATAATATCACAACAACCATGGGAGGTAGGTGTTATTATTACTCCCATTTTACAGATGAAGAAACTGAGGCAAAAGTTTAAGGACTTGCTCAAGGACACACAGCTAGTAAATGTCTAAAGCCAAATTTGAACTACGCTCTTTCTGACTCTAGGACTGGCGTTCTGTCCATAGCCACAAAATTTTGAAGAAAAATGAAGAAAAGATCCTGTGTCAGACTACATACAAGCCTGAGTTTCTGAACTATATTTAATTTTCTAAGTCTTCTGTGAAATTCCAATGACAGATTAAAGCAACTCTCCAAAGGGATTTTAGTCATGAAATAATCCCTAAATGTATCAAGGGAAACCAAAAATACCACTGGCCTGGCAAGAATGGGGACATGGGGACCAAGTGGAGAGGCCACTGCTGGGAAAAGTCGGGAGCAGAATTGAGCCTGTTTTCACAGGGAAACTCTCTCTTCTCTGCCTCTCATGGTGCGCTCCACTCTCTGGCTTAATTCCATCCTCTCCGACAAGACACAAGAGGCACAAAGTCTAAGCTTAGATGCTCGTCTGCCACAAGGCCCCGTCTTCACTTTCCCCAGTAGAGCTGCTGAGGCTTTTCCTGCCTTCCCTGAGCTTTCTTCTGGAGCTTTAGCTGGTGCTTCTGGCACTACTCCCACCCAACCACCCCCGGAATGACTCTGCAGTATTCATCTCATTACCTGCTTCAGCTCCCATTTCCTTTACACATAGTTAAAAAATCCTAAACTGGCGGCCAAGCTCCCTCCTCATTCACTCACTTCTGTCTTACTGAATAAGTCCCCTGCCCCATGCCCTTCTTATTGAAGCTGGTTCCTGATACCTTCATCATTTCATTCATTAAAGTTTCCTGATTCTCCCTGGACTCTCACTTACCCACTCTCCACAAATCCAAGGGACACACCAGACTCCTTCCAGCTTTCCTCCCCCGTTATCTCCTTAGGGACAAGCTGCAGAATTTCGGTACGTGTCACTCCTCCCCTTTAACATCTCTACTGGCTCTCTAGGGCCCACCAAGCTCCAAGGCCTTTGGTTAACATTCAGAGACCCCCATGTGGAAATCTCACTCCCTTTCCAGTTTCCAACACACACTCACATACATGTACTTGCACTCTCTCTGGTGCGTCTCTCTCTCTCTCGTCCTTTTTCTTTCTCGGCTTTCCTTTTGAACTGGTACTCCGGTACTTTCTCTTTCTCTCTGTCCCTCGGCCTCTGGTGTTTTCTCTCTCCCTGTCTCGATCTCTGATCTCTGTCTCTCTGCGTCGCCCCCTCCTTCCCTCTCTGGTCTCCGTAGCTTTCTCTCTCTGCCTGTCTCTGTCTTTAGCTGTCTGTCTGGTTCTCTCTCTCTCTCTGTCTCTTTCCTCTCACTCCACACTGCCCCCACCATGCTCCAGTCAAACAGTGATCTCTCTTCTCTGGCCCCTGGGATGTTGCCTGCACTATTCTTTTCCATTTCTGAGATTCTCTGACAGCTCTTCAATAACAAGCACTGGGCATACATACCCAGGGTCCAATACCAATAGGGAAAGTGCTGAACAAAAAGTACCCTCTCTTTGAGTACAGTGGGGATGAGCAGATTGCAACATAAAACCCAAGAGCTTTGGGGCAGAACAGGAAGACAAAAGGTCATCAGGGATAATCTGAGAGAAAGAGAAAATGGGCCTGCCCAATGGGGAGTGAGAGGGGGACAGGCAGAAGGTTGGGCCTAGGTCAGGAGATGTTGAAGAAGGCCATCCTCCAGTATGTGGCTGGTGCCTCTGGGGGTCAATCTGGGGGAGAACATCTACAAGAGATGTAGAGGATAAGCAAGCATGGAGGGATTCCCAAATCATAGATCCATCTGAATACTTGGGAGCAGTGGAAAGAGCTTAGACTGGAAGTATGGAGGGACTAGGCCTGGTCTCTTGTATGTGTGAAATCAGGAAAGGTATACCACCCTCCTAGCCCCCAGTTCCATTAGGGAAGAAACTGGACTTGATGTGCAAGATCAAACATTCATTTAAGCAGCACAGTGGGAAGAGCATTCAGCTGAGCTCCTAAAGGTAACTAGCATACTTTCGGGGCTGGGGGGGCTGTCGCTTTAGAAGCCTGTTAGAGGGTGGGCCCTATGCTACGGCTCCTCTCTATCACTGACTTGTGTAAGCCAGCAAGGGTACGCTTCTCCAATGTGCAGACAATGAAAAGCTGGAAAGGAAGTAAGCGTACAGCAGCAACAGAGTCCAGCAGGTTAGACAAGAAAATGATGAAACATAAAAGAGATAAGGGGAAAGGCCTGTACTTAGGTCCAAAAAGTCAACCTCTTGAGTACAAGATGGGGGCAAAGTTTTCAGGGTTAAAGTAGACCACCATTTCAATGTGTAAACAATCTAAAAGGCCATGCCATATCAGGCCACACTGAGGGAAGCCCAGCCCAGCCCTCATCAGTGAAGGAAGGCACAGTCCCACTCACTGTACGCTGCCCTAAGAACACATCTGGAATGTTGTGCTCAGTCCCAAGGACCACAGGTGGGTAAGGACACTGATCAGCTGGTTTTCATCCAGGAGAATGACCAGGATGGTGAGTGAATCATACCATGAGTATGAGAGCTGAAGTAACTGGGCATGTTCAGCCTGGAAAAGGCTGGTGGGCATCCCAGAGGAGCCGTGGGAAGAGGACCTCGGGTCTGAAGGCCAGAACAAAGAACAACGGGTACAGGTAACAGAGAGGCAAACCAGCTCCATCAGCCTCTCCCCCTCCCCCTCAAGTAGAGAGGCTACATGATCTCTTATCTCTTGTGGAAGACGAAGTCTAGAGGGTAAAGGTCTGACCAGGTGCCTTTGGAAGCTGGAAAGCCATTGCTTTGTCAGCCCTGGGGACCCACCAACAGGAAAGCCCAACTAATGATAAAAAGCAAAGCAGGCAGTTCAAAGACCTGCCTGAGGAAATAAAATAGGCCCACTCCTCAGAGCAATAAAATGTCAACAACCCAACAAGCATCTCCAGCTCCGCCTCCGGCTGGATGTTGAGGCCATTGCTTTGGTCCAGGTTTTTCCAGCATGAAGCACGGCCAGTATCTGCTGCAAAGTGAGAAGCCAGCCCCTCAAAGCTCAGTGAAGGATAAAAAATGATCAGCCTCACCCTTTGTCTTCCGGTTGCTATTTTCTTAAGCAATGCGGCTGCCCACCTCTTAGAAGCTCATGAGAGTGGGAGGCAAAGAAAAAGACAAGCCCCCAAGGCCACTCCGGGCCTCCCAGAGCTGATTCTGAAGAACAGAGACTGTACCCTCAAGTCTTCAATCTAAAAAGGAAGTGACTCAGCTCATGGGGGATGGGAATGGGGATGGAGGGAGACAGGGAGGTGGGAGGGGACAGAGACAGACACCTGGCTGCCTTCACCCCAGAGTCACAAGCCTTTCTTCCAAACATGTCTTGCCTCTTGGGCTTCCCAACCTCCACCAGTTAGGATGATAACTAACCCTAACCCTAACTCTAACCCTTGGTAAGTCTAATCTCATTTTACAGAGAAGGAAACTGAGGTCAGAGAGAGGGCAAATGACTTGTCCAAGGTCCAGGGCTTTCATACTAACTTTCTGGTCCAGTGAACAAAGAAAAATAATTGACTAGTGTTTCTAATGTTGGAATAAATATCATTCTAGTTGAAGAAATAGTCTTAGATGTCCTAAGTAGGATATCTGAGTTCTAATGAACTGTAACGTTGAGAGGTGTGTGTGTGAGAAAGAATAAAGAAGTGATTTATAGAAATATTATGACTCCATGGCAACAGAAACCAGGGAAGAAACCCCACTTGCACAGAGCTGTTTAAAAATAAACCAGATACTAAAACATCAATATTAAGCTACAATGACTCACACTGTCCTCCTCCAATACAGTTTAGAGAACAGTCAGTTCTTTTGCACACTTGTCTTCAGGGTTTTTCCCTGCTGAAGAAGTGTGAAACAAGGGAAAGGCAGAGGCAGCTTTGAGATTTTTTTCTCCCTTAAAAAAAATCGAGCAGGCAGTGGTGACTAAGACCTTGTATGCCCAGGAGGAAGGAGGAAAGACTGCAGCTACAGGAAAGCCTGAGATCAGGACACTGGCTTTTTAAACAAATGGTCACGAGGGCAAATGACAGGCTGCCTGTTGGAGCACCTGCTCCCAGAAAGCTCAAACAGAGGACTTTCCAAAAAAAAAAAAAAGCATAAATCCAAATTGTTGGCCCAGAGGGTTTCTTCACTGTCACTCAGGCCAACTCACCTTCTGCAAAGGTGAAAGCAGAAGCAGAACGAGGGGAAAGGGCTGGCCCAAGGCCACACAGCTCCGAAGCAGCAGAAACCAGCCTTAAAACGTGGTCTCCATCTGCCAAGTCCAGAGCCCCTGCCATGACCCCAGGCTTCCTGCCAGCTATTCAAAACTCAACTGGCCTCCACCATGGGCAAAGACAGTATCTTGTATCCACTCCTATTTTATCATCTCCACAGGCAGTCTTCAGGAATGGAAGTGGGAAAGCAGCAAAACCCAATCTTCTAAATCTGAGCACGCACTGTGGACAAATTCTTCCCTGTTCTGGCCTTCCTGGTGCCCATCTCAATACCTGGAGCAAAGACGGACACAGACGACTTCCAACGTTTCTTTCAGTTGAGACATTTCCATGAGGTACGCTAATAGTCTGTGTGTTTACACAGTTTCAGAATAAAAACAGATACACAGCCATCGATGACAATACGTCAATAGCAAATTACAACCCAGACTCACAGACTGTTTGGCCTCTTCAGACTTGATTCCTTACGGGAAGGGAATCCGGGACTTTCCATCCATGTCTTCACAGTCCAGCGGCCTCCTTGAATAGAACCAGTGGTGGTGAGCCTCCCCCAGGGCAGTCGCCTCCCTCCTCCAAGTTCCTAAGCAGCCCCTTTCCTAGAACTCTGTGCCACCCAACTCTCTGCACGGGGCCCTAAACAGAGGAGGTACTCCATCCGGGTCAGATTCCTAACAATAATGATTTCTGGGAAGAAGTTAGAGGCAACCCAGCTCTGGGCTCACTCCAGGGCTTCCACAAACATCCACAGGCAACGTGGGCTCCAAACAGGCTCCAGGAATCATCTGAGGCCAAGCCTAGATTATGGCTATCTACCAGCTAATCCAAGGGCCTGCAGCCTTGAAGCTTCATGTGGCCCTGAAGGTCGTCAAGTGCGACCCTTTGGGATTCAGTCCAACGGCCGCACTTGAGACCCAGAGGGCCACGGTTCCCTACTCCTGCAATCCTTCTCATCACATCTTACATCTCACCCCAGCCGTAATGCATGGAGGTGAAAATAAAGGCACTTCTGACATCTGACAAGAAGGAATCTGATGAAAGGTTTTCATCTCTAACACCTCAGGGTGGCCGCTGAGTGCAACAATGATGCCGTTGTACTTGGAAATGACCGGTAAAAAAGCAAAACGGTATCCACGAAACTTTGTTCCAAATCAGCATGGCAAACTCCAAGATCTGCATTCAAACCCAAGTCAAAGGAGAGAGTGGAGACATTTCAGATGCGATTCCGTCTCTCTTTACAAAGAGAGAGCATGTGGCAAGTAATGCTTCTAAACATCAAGATCTATCTCAGCAACAATATTTTCTTGTCCCAAATGGTGCTGCGGGTAGAACATAAGCTTCTGGATAAGGAGATTCTGATTCATGTTTGGTTCTGTATCCCAGTGCCAAGCGCATAGTAGGTGCTGGTTTAATTGTGTACTCCATCACATTTTCTCCTCTGGGACATACAAGGAGGTGTTCAAAAGCTTCGTTTTCACCTCTCCTGACACTCTAAAGGAAAGAGAACCAGGAGCCACCTTTTCAAGAGAATGCTCGGAGAAACTGGAGTCTGCAAAACTGGGCTGGGAGGCAGATCGGGGGGGGGGGGCAAGATCACGAAGACTTATGCGGCAAGTCTTAAAATAACCCTGAAGTTTTACCGTGGTATCTCCTGACTCCTAATCATTCTACGAAAGAGGAAATCTCTCAGGCGGCTCTGGCGCCCATTTTAAAGATGGGAAAACCTGAGGAAATAATTGGGTCTGTTTACTGTTGGTTCTATTCAAGGAGGCTGCTGGACTGGGAAGACACAGATGAAAAGCCATACATTTCCTTCCCTTAAGGAATCAAACCCAGAGAGGCCAAACATTCTGGGAGTCTAGGTAATATCTGGCTACTTCTATTCAACTCAACAAAAACATTTTCTAATTACGTGCAAGGCCCTGGGCCAGGACAGCTACAAAGATGATGATGACAACATTTATGTAGTGCTTTAAGTTATAATTCCCTCACTGTATCCTTATAAGATCCCTGGAGGGTAGATGCTGTTATTATTCCCATTTTACAGATAAGGAAACAGAGGCAGAGAGAGATTAAGTGACTTGCCCACTGTCACAAAGCTAATAAATGTCTAAGGCCACATTTGAACTCAGGTCTTCCTGACTACAGGCTCAGTGCTCTATCCACTGGGCCACCTCATTGCCTCTGGAGAAATTAACCAGTTCTTTCCCTTATGGTCAAGTAGAGGCACGGCTATACAAATAAGCATCTTGCAACATCAATCATCGTACAAGTGTAGACAAGGTAAAGTGAGGTTGAAAGAAGCAAAGGGTTAATTAAACTGTTAGAGAAGGGCACAAAACAAGGTGAGTCTTAAAGGCCAGATCCAACAGGCAAAGATGGGAGAGTGGTAGTGCTGGCCTAGGGAACATGAAGACAGGCAAAGGTGCAACGTCTAATTCTGCTGGTGCACAAAACACATGGTGTGCTGAAAGAGAAAGGATCAATGTGAAAGATGGGGAAAGATCCAGGCGTCCTCGCACTCAGTCACCTATTTAGACAGCTGGCAAAACTGGGCCTGGGGAGGCTCTCAGTCCTGACTTCCAGATCCATTGCTAAGTAAGTCACTTTGACTTTGGCCAAAGCATCTCGGTTCTCAAGGACTCAGCTTCTTCCTCAGTAAACAGACCAGATGGCTTCTGAGGGTCTGTCCAGCTCTGAAATGGCGCCCCACCACAAGTCAGAGTCACTGATGGGCTGGGATTGAACAGGGCGGTGCAGACAGCAACTCTCTGTTTGACGTAATGGAAAGCGGCCAGGTAGCAGGCCAGCCCTCCGAGAAAACTTTCACATCAATATTTTCTTTTAATCCTCTTACTGCCAAGCACTCTGGGAACTTACTGGAGATTTGGGACAAAGATTTTTTTTTGCCCAAGGTTAATTCTGAGCTAATGATCCCTAGCTTACTAGTAGAAAATGTGTCTTTAAATAAGACTACAAGTACATATTTTCAAATCTGCTATTAAATGAGATGAAGCACAAAGCTTAAATAAACAAAGCAGGGAAAGGAAAAAATAATTTTGTGTGACCCACTGAAAATGAACCCAGTAGAAATTTCTGCCTCTATCATTCATATGTAGCTCACTTTAAATTTCCTTGTATTACAAGTGATTGGTTTTATTTTTAGCTTTACTTAGTTTGGACTCCATATTTTATCTTCCTGTATATTCAAATTCAATGGGCATTTCCATTCCCCCTACATACAAGACCCTGTGAGGCACACACACATGCACACGCACACATACACACAAGCATGCACACACACGTGGAGATACACACAGGGACTGATGCTTCCCTGACCACATCTGCCCCAGGAAGGGCCTGACACAGACTTCAGAGACCTCAACTCAGGGGTCCCTGCCACCCTCAGCGGATAGCCCAGCCTATGCCTAAACACCTCCACTGATGGGAAGTCGGGATCTCATGAATCAATTCCTTTCACTTTTGGACAGCTCCTTCCATTAAATTTACGTCCCTGTAGTTTTCACCCATTGATCTTAGTCAAGGAGTGTGATGCCAGGATTGATGAGTATAATCAACCGAGTAAACTCTCCTAGGGTGAAAGGGGACATTATTCAAATAAAATGTCCACGGGAACAACCAGGAAAAGTTTCCAAGGTCAAAAGATAGAAATGGATGACAATCACAACACAACAGGTTTCCTGATTTCCCGCCATGGCTCTCCCGGCTGTCCTCCGCGTAGCCTCGCAGAACAGGTTGCAGCCTTCACCCCCGCCGCCCGTTCTGCCTGGGTTTCTTCCTCATGACGTGGTTTTGAATCCTTTCATCATCCAAGGCATCTCTATAATGACAGACGTACTCTATGTTCAATAAATATTGACCGATTGACTGAAGAAGCCAAAAGCTTCTGGTTGCCAGGCTTTTTGTCTCTCCC